CAAATCTTTACTCCTCACACTTCAGATAGAGCCCTAATATCCAGAGTATACAAAGAACTCAAAAAATTAGACAATAAGAGAACAAACAACCCAATCAACAAATGGGCCAAGGACCTGAACAGACACTTCACAGAGGAGGACATACAGTCAATCAACAAGTACATGAAAAAATGCTCAACATCTCTAGCTGTCAGAGAAATGCAAATCAAAACCACCCTAAGATACCATCTCACTCCAGTAAGATTGGCAGCCATTAGGAAGTCAAACAACAACAAGTGCTGGCGAGGATGTGGGGAAAAGGGTACACTTGTACATTGCTGGTGGGACTGCAGATTGGTGCAGCCAATTTGGAAAGCAGTATGGAGATTTCTTGGAAAGCTGGGAATGGAGCCACCATTTGACCCAGCTATTCCCCTTCTTGGTCTATTCCCTAAAGACCTAAAAAGAGCATGCTACAGGGACACTGCTACATCGATGTTCATAGCAGCACAGTTCACAATAGCAAGACTGTGGAACCAACCTAGATGCCCTTCAATAGACGAATGGATAAAAAAAATGTGGCATTTATACACAATGGAGTATTACTCTGCATTAAAAAATGACAAAATCATAGAATTTACAGGGAAATGGATGGCATTAGAGCAGATTATGCTAAGTGAAGCTAGCCAATCCCTAAAAAACAAATGCCAAATGTCTTCTTTGATATAAGGAAAGTAACTAAGAACAGAGTAGGGACGAAGAACAGGAGAAGAAGATTAACATTTAACAGGGATGAGAGGTGGGAGGGAAAGGGAGAGAGAAGGTAAATTGCACGGTAATGGAAGGAGACCCTCAGGGTTATACAGTGGAGGGGGTAGAGAGAGAGGAGGGGAGGGGAGGGGAGAGGTGGGGAGGGGGGAGGGTGGATGATGGGAAAGGCAGCGGAGCACAACAGACACTAGTATGGCAATTTGTAAATCAATGGATGTGTAACTGATGTGAATCTGCAATCTGTGTATGGGGTGAAGGTGGGAGTTCATAACCCACTAGAATCAAAGTGTGGAATATGATATGTCAAGAAATTTGTAATGTTTTGAACAACCCACAATAAAAAATTAAAAAAAAAAAAATCAGCATACTGCAGTGATGGCAGCCACATCAATGTTTATATCAGCTCAATTCACAATAGTCAAACTATGGAACCAACATAGATGCCCTTCAGCAGATGAATGGATGAAGAAAATGTGGTATATATACATAATGGGATATTACTCTTAATGCTGTTATCTCTAAATTACTTGTAATCTCTAATAAAATGCAAATTCTATGTAAATAGTTGTTATACAATATTGTTTAGGAAATGGTAATAGAAAACCCCCATCTATACATGTTCAGTATAGATGCAAATTTTTTTCAACTTCAGTTGAGTCTGTGAGTGTGGACCCTATGGATATGAAGGGCCCACTTTCAAAATTACCTGGAAGGTCAGGTTCTAATCTAGAATCGTTGTGACCCAGAAAATGGAGGAAGGGGAGAGCTGGACCATGCATGACGCTACAGCCTGTCTCTTCCTATCCTGGCTTCATCCCATGCATCCCAAGCCTTATGTGTGCCTAAGGGGGCAGACTCCTTTCACACGTTTCCACAGCTACCCATGGGCGTAGCCATCAGCATGTCTATCCTTCAAAGCTGGACCAGAGGAAAGGCCTAGAATTGGGCTTAGCATTGCTGTAGTTTGGATGTCAACTGACCCCCAAAATACATATGCTACAGGCTTAGTCCCTTGCCTATGAAACTATTGAGAGGTGATAGAAACTTTAAGAGGTGGGATCTACAAAGTTCAAAGCCAGCCTCAGCAACTTAGCAAGGCCCTAAGAAAATTAGTAGACCCTGTCTCTAAATAAAATACTTAAAAAAGGGCTGGGGTATGACTGTGGTTGAGCATTGTGGAGAGCAGTGACAATGACTGGAAGACCAGTGTATGAGATTGGAGTCCCTGATGACTTCATGGCTGTGGCGTACTTGGTGGCTGGGAAAGTTTCTGTGCAAAGGCATAGGATGCCCGGTTGCTATGGAGATGTCCTCCATGCTAGAGTCTTATCAGCCTCTATCTTATTCTCAGGCATAGCAGCTCCTGGGAATGAAGGAACTTTCTTGCTAAGGTAACCACAATATTTCACCAGTTCCCTTGCTCCTGAATCTGCCCATGAATTAGTAACTTTAGACAATGGACTTTCTTGAGAGTTGCACAATGCTCCTAACATTGCACATTACAACTGTAGATTGTAACTGAGGAAATAGCTGCATACTGTTGCTAACTCTGCATACTGTTGTAACTCTGTTGCTAACTCTGCATACTGTTGTAACTTTCACGAATACAAACAATAATGCTTGAATAATCTTTATTCTGATTTGGAGACATATATAATAAAGATTGCTGGTGTAATTCTTTAGAACTGCTTCTCCATCAGAGAGCAGTGCTCCATCTGACCCCAGCTTTATCTTCTTTATCTTGACTCTTTATTTCTTCCAATCTCCCATCGCCAGAACCTGCTAGTTTGGCTGTCCTGGTCACGGCAGAGCACCCTTGGGCTCAATCCCAGGACAAAAACATAAAGAGGTGGGATCTAGTGGGAAGTCTTTAGGTCACTGTAGGGCATATCCTTGAAGGGCATAGTGGGACCTTGGCCCCTTCCTCTTTTGCATCCTGACCAGGAAGTCAGTGTTTGCCCTGTCACACGCTCCTGCCATGATTTGCTGCCTTACCACAGGCCTAAAGCAATGGGGCCAACCAACTGCATACTGAAAGCTTCCAAATTGTGAGCTAAAATAAACTTCCTTTTTATAAGTTGATTATATCAAGTATGTTGTTATGGTGATGGAAAACTAAAACAAGCACCATTTGACCTAGGAAATCCAGGATCCCCAATCCAGCAATTGTGGTTTGGAAACAGGTGGAGTTGACTCTAAGTGGGCACATCCTCTGAGCCTCATGGACTCATGACCCTCATGAGGTCACCAGGAGGGGCAGTTGTAGAGCCAGAACATGATCTTCTAAAGAAGACTCTTGTCTGAGTCTGGTGGTAGTCCTGGGAGAGAAACTTGTACCATTGCAGGCAAGGATGACGTACCTCTTTAGAACGAAACCTAAGAGAGACTGGAAGGTACAGAGGGGATTATAATACCCAGCCCAGGTGTAAGGCTGGGCTCGCATACCTGGTCCCTCCGCTCTGTCCTCAACATTCACTGGGAACCACTATGTGCCAAGCACTTTCTAGGTTCTAGCAATCAAAGATTTAAAGAACACAGCTCCTGGCTTCCCAATTAGTAAGGAAATCTTACCTCAAAGAAGAGCCACTGGTTTTTCTCAAGCAAATTCAAGTCATTAAAATTGATTAAGCACTTACTACAGGCCAGGTGCTGGACATTAATCAAAAAGGGATTAATTAGCATAAGGATTATTAACTCACAAATCAGTGGCAGAACTGTCCTGTCTGGAAGCCGAGGCTGCCCTCTTTAGCCTGTGCTCTGCCATGTCCTTGAACCAGGTTGAACCACACTGCTGTCTGATCGGACCACCTCCCGCACAGAGGAGTTTATTTCTAAATCCAAGTTGCTCAGTGCCTTGGACTAGGATTCTAAGACACATTTCTGCACCCTTTGGGTAGAGGAGGCTGGGAAGTGCAGGTCTTTGCATTCTTCTTTGTGCAGGAAGGCTTCAACAATAGAGGAAAGAATTAAAATGTGAGAGGGTGCTCACCAGTTGGGACAGTCCTGATGGACAGCTGTCTTCTGTAAAAATAGTTAGCAGGAATAAATCCATCAGTCTTAATGCGGCAATCTGCAAAAATAAAATGTTTACTCTCCCCCCGCCCCCAACAATGTCATTTTTGTTTTCTGAGGCCACTGGTTTGGAGAAAGAAGGATTTCAATCCTTTCTGTTGGGTTGGCAGCCTTCCCTGCCCCCTCCCCTTTCATGGCAACGGTGGCCGGAGGACTTTGCACCTGGCTGAGGAGACCCGAAATGGCCAATTAAAAGCTGACATGGCAACGGACCCCAACCACCAAGGTTCCTGCTGGCTGAAGCAATTGCCCTGTCAACTCACATCAGCTCTGACCAACCCGCGACAGACAGGATGCCCCCAAACTCTGCTCAGCCAACCTGCTGTCATAGCTGCAATTTAGATGGCCTCGGCCCTCCTACCGGCAGCTTGCCTTATTAGCATGTTCTTGCCTTTCCTGCTGGTGACTTTCCCGGCCCTCACCCTTTCACGGACCAGTGACCCTCGCCTGGGAGCGCCCCCCAATAAGCCTTCTTTGGGTGCCTTATTCTTGTTCCGTGGTTACTGATCTCAAAGCGCACCCTTTCTGCTTTCTAAAAAAATTTGGTCACATTTTATTTAAATTTGGGGTAAACATTTAAACAACCTCCAGAATGATCAGTTGTTGCAATTTGCAATCTTCGGTGCAGCACTTTCTTTCTACCCCTTTTGACTGGTTTGTCGCCTTTCTCTATAGCTTTCCCCCATGACTTAAAAAATCAAACCTAAGGCACCCTTAGTCCCCATGACTTAAAAAAAAAAATCAAACCTAATTATTGTTTGTATTTAAAGGTGTTTTGCAAGCAGTAATATTTTCCCAATTTCAGGTGGGGTCTGGAAACATTTTACTGTGTTGATAAGATGTGGAGTGAGTTCACATGTCCATAGATAAAAGACCTTCATTAATCATCAAACCACAGGATTTTTTTGACCTAGATTTTTTGGACTGTGTCTTATGACAGGTAAAATAATTGAATCCAGGGCCTCCCACATGCTAGGCAAGTACTCTACCACTGAGTCACATCCCCAGCCCCAAATAATTATTTACTTTGCAATTTTGTGAGTCTTAAAGTAAATATTCACAGGCAAATATTTACCAAATATTTGCCTGGATGCTTTATGTGTTATCTCATTTAATCCTGGCTTGATCCTTGTACTAATGGTCACTCTGATTTTACAGATGCCGAAACCAAGGAGCAAATGAACGGGTAATGGGCCCCCAAGTTTCTCATAGAACTTGAATTGCAGTCAGAACTCAGATCTCAGGATTTTGAGGCCCACAGAGGAGTATGGGTCCTTCTTAGCAAATGCCCCAAGACCTGGGGTTTGCATATTTGTGCTTTTCTCATATCTTGAATCAAATGGAATTTGGCTTTGTAAACAATGCTATGCTGGGCCTGTTTTCTGAGCAGCCAGGACAGGAAGAAGACTTCCTATCTCATCCCACGGCTATAAGAGTACTTTTGGCATGGTTCAGAATTTTTGTCCTTGAAACAGGTAATGCTGCTTTATACTTCACTTGATTTCCATAGCTAACCAACATAGATATTTCTAGATGATCAAAAATTAAGACCAGGATCTTCTAAGAACTAACCTGTGACCTTGTAGATATGAAGATATGAATCTCCACTGAGGCATCTTCCCTGCCTCTTGGGATTACCAATGCTGCTAAATGGTGAAGGGACTTCTTAGGAGACAGCTCAAAGTCAGAATGAGCAAGCTTTTAACTCAAAATTATTTCTTTGGGCCCGGTTCTCATAGCCGTAGCAAGGATTCAATGTAACCCAAACCAGTTTTCACCAGGATAATGAAGTCTGTGGGTTGTGTATGAGGGAAGATGACTCTTTTGATGCCCAGAGATAAAACTGGTTATCTTCAAGACCCAAGTGTCCCTGAGGCACAGGCAAGGAATCACATGAAGATGGCATAGTGTCTTGGTGACAGAAATACTCAGAGGAGAGTATGAATGGTGCCCAATTTCCTACACCAGATCCTAGGAATCAAAGGTGGACCTGTCAGGTGGACCTGGATTTCTGTAGCCCTGAATCAATCTCATCTCAGAAATAGGACAGGTGGGAACAACTGGTCCCCCTGAAGAAAATGTCCCCAAGAATATACTACTTTTATTTCTATTTTACAGTTCATACAATGACACACAGAACATACCTTTCCCTTTCATTCTGAAAGATTTGCAAAATCACAAGTTATATCTGGGCTGGAGGTATAGCTCAGAGGTGTAGCATTTGCCTGTCTTATACAAGGCCCTGGGTTCAACTCCCAGGACTGCAAAAACAAAAAAGTTGTGATCACTGAAAATATTCCATATTAAAAATAATTTTTATATAACTGTATTAAACTGAGTGATGGTTGAAAAGTTATACTTTGTAGATACCTAAAATACTGTATTTTAGGGGCTGTGGCTCAGTGGTAGAGTGCTCACCTAGCACGTGCGAGACCCTGGGTTCAATCCTCAGCACCATATAAAAAAATAAATAAAATAAAGGCATTGTGTCCAACTACAACTAAAAAAAATAAGTATTAAAAATATTGTTTTTATAGTTTTTTAAAAGAATTTAAAAATTTTTAAATTTGCATTTTATCACTTAGGAACCATTTATAATACAAACAATGGAGAGAAACTCAGTGTTTACAACATAAAATTGTTAAAGCAATTATGGCATGGTCTTACAATAAAATTCTATGCAGCCATTAAAAATATTTAGATATTAGAATAAAAGATGTCTGTAATATAAGCTCAAAAACAAACAAATATATTTGCATTTTATTTTTAATACTTCGGAGGCTCTGAATTTGGGGGTGCTGTCACATATATCTTTGTAAGCTGCTGAAAAGCTTGAATTTATGGGATCTAATGGACAAAATGGCCCCAACAGCAAGGGATGTCTCCACCCACTGGCTGTGCTTAGGCCAAATCATCCAAGTATTATATTGAAAAGATCAAACACATGACTTATATAAGTATGTAATCAATATGTAACACAGATTAATATAACTTGTTTGGAAGGGAACAAGCAGGATGGTAAAGCTGGTTCAAAGAAGTATCTGAGAGTTAGAGATAATCAACGAAAGAATATCTTGGAAGAGATTTGCTAAATTATTCACAAACTAATCAGCATCGTACAGGACAATAAACTATAACCTCAGGTGTTACCTTTCCTATTGGACAGAAATCTCTACAGAGCCCAAAGGAAAATACTTGCAATTTATCAGTCTTCCACAAGTTAAGGAGTAACTTTGCAGAGCCTGGCCCTAATCAACTGGAAACAGTAAGGCAAAGAAAGAGATAGCCCCTTAAAGAATCAGATAATTGTTAAACTTCAATTTAAATCAAATTAAAGCAAGCTTGTAATTCTGACCACCTGGGGCTGTCTCTCCCCAAACCATGGGAATAGAAGATAGCACTCCAGCTACGCAGTTTTGTAGCACAAAAAGTTGCAAAAGGGAGTGTCTTGAGAATTTACAGATAAAAGGATTTTGACAAGTGTAATACAAAGGCAGGTAGTAGCTTAATAGTGTAAATAGTTCAGCACTTAGGGAGTAAATTTAGATCCCAACATCAGAATTTATGTGGTGTCACTAAGGTTTCAGAGAGGGTTGTTATCTGGTCGGGGGAAACTAGGCATGGGTGAGTTCAAGGCACCGGCAGGCATTCCAAGCAAGTTTAGAAATCACAGTAATTTATAGTAAAGCAGAAATTAACTTTTCATGCCTTTGTGATGAGATGGCTTCCAATCTTAAGAGGGAATCAGGCTGGGTTTATCAATAATCCTGGGCAGGTCTGCTAGCTATGTCCCCAGATGACACTCAAAGAATGCCACCACTCTTTAGCCTTATCCTCAAGTTTTGAATAAATCTTAACCATGGAAAGGGGAAGAAAAGGGCTTTTCTAGGTTAATTCTTTGCTGGGGTTGGAGCTGAACCTCTGGGTACTCTGGGAAGGTCAACAGTTATGTTCCCTTCAGATGGACATCTTTCAATCTTTTTATAATATTAATTTAGCAGGGTCAGGAAAAAACTTGAAGTTGATCCTTTGTATATGCAGATTCTATTTCTTTGGATTTAACCAAATGCAGATCAAAAATATTTTTAAAAAATCGTGAATATGCTGATTTTTTTCTTGTCATTATTCCTTGAGCAATATAACATGACAACTGTTTACCTAACATTTCCATTGCATCAGGTATTATAAATAATTTAGAGATGATTTAAAATATATGGAAGATGTGTGTAGGTTATATGCAAATGATACAGTGGGCTCTCAGTGATGAGTTCTGCTTCCTCAAATGTTGAAGTATAACACCAGAGAAGCACGCTGAGACAAGCATATAAAGCAGATTTTATTTAAAAGGTGGTAATAGAGAGGAGGGAGAAGGGGGCCATAGCTGGTATCCTGGTATCCCAAGAAGTGAGAGTGTTGTGCCCCTTTCATACATTTTAGATTTTCTTTGTTCTCCTGCTTTCTTTCTCCTTATCTCTTTCCTTCCTACATACCGTGACTGTGACTAGGTCCAGGAGATGCCGGTGGGGTGCCAAAAGGTGAGAAGCAGATGGTGGGGGGAGGGCCAAATAGAGTGATCCAGCCAGGAATAGCCCAGGAGGCATTAATAACTTTTACAATTCCCTATGGGGAGGGACAATTCCTAGGACAGGTTACCTTAGCAACAGGTTGCATCAGGAGCAGGTTATCTTGGTGGAGGAAGGGCTCTGGAGGTATTAACATTTCAGTCTCCCAAGGGCAGTCTCCAACTTCCTGGACCCAAACTGGCCTTCACTTTCTCCATAGACCCTATTACTTACCTGTCTATTCTTTTTTTAAAGAGTTTATAGTTCTAATTCTGGTGGTGGCATATTTGCTTCACAAACACCACCCCATTTTAAGCAGGTTATTTAAAACATTCAGAAGATTTGGTTTCTTCCCCCCGAGTGGGGAAGGGTCCTCAAATCAATCCTCTGAGAATACTGATAGAGGACTGTAAACAGAAACAAATTCCTTTACTCATTAACTTCCATGGTCACTATGGAGTCAGTACTCTAAAAATACTCAGCAAAATGTTTCACTTTTTTTTTTGTGTGTGTGTGTACGTGGTTATTATTTGTTTCTTAATGTTTCCTTTGGGGAGTATCCAAATCAAATAAGCTACTGGGAAGCATAGCAAAGAGTTTTAATTTTAGATGATACCTTATTTTTTGTTGGTAAGCAGTATGACGGAATGAATTATCAGGTTTCTGCATTTCAGCAGATGACCTGTAGATTTCAGCCTTGCTGTATGTGTGTGTGTGTGGCCAAATGTCCAGAATCAGCAAAGATGCAGAGACAGAAAGCAGATTAGCAGTTGTCCGGAGTTGGGGAAGTGACTGCTAAGGTGTATGGTGTTTCTTTTTGAGATAATGAAGATATTCTGGAATTAGAAGTGATGGCAGCACAACTTTGAGAACATTTTAAGTACACTGAATCATACACTTTTAAACAGTGAATGTTATGGTATGTGAATTAGATAGCAATTAAATAAAAAAAAAGAATACTCCACAGAAAAGTCAGTATAAGAGTTTTTTTTTTGTTTTGTTTTAAATTCCCTAAGAGGACACTGTCTGCTTTGTTGCAAGTGTGGGAATCAATGCACATTTTGCCAGCTGTGTGAGAAGAATGGTTCTGGAGACCTGTGCTGACATAGCTGTGGCTTATTTCCATGATGCTGCAGGGCTCCCTACCTTCCCATGGTTTAAACCATAGTTCAGCTGGGGCTGGGCCTTTTATGATATGTTTCAGTGGACTCAGGCTCCAAGAACTGAGAGGGTCCTCTTCCTTCTGTTAGGTAGTAGTTAGTAAATAAGCAGAGAAATGATTGGTGAGGTCACTATTTGTTTGTTTTTTAGTTGTCTTTAGAGTCTTCTTTAAACTACTTCCAAAGAAGATGAGCAAATAACTTGTAGCAAATAACTTGTAGAAAAACATCAGGCACACGAACCTTGAGAATAAGTAAATAGAAACAAATGGGAAACACATCAAGTCAGAAAGATTAATGGGACTAACTTTTGACAGGGTTCGCTGAGGTCAGGATAAGGCTAGGAGTTATGGCCTAAGAGTTTCCTTATATTTCAGAAGGGAGGTTTCTTTGCTAATGCAAGCATGCTGATCTGCCATTGACTCAAGTGCCCACGTTAACAAAGGATTAACTTGTGGATGAAGCCTCCCTGAATTGGATGGTCACCATGACAGTTCTGCAAAGGACCAATTAAGGTAAAAAACTTCCTCTGCCTGATGTGAAGGAGGAGTTGGACACCTGAATGGCAAAGAATGCAGAAGGTGGGGCCCAGTTCTTCAGGCAAATATTAAAGAGTAATGAATTTGAAAACAGCACCGTTTCCTTTGTTGTTCTCTGTTGGAAGATGACCCACTCTCTCTCCTGAGAGTGCTCTTTAATTGGGCCTCACTTTGATTTTACTTATAATAAAATTCTCTTGAATGGCTTTTGGTGTCTGACTTTGAATTTTCTTTTGTTGGGACACAAGAACGAAGGCTTGGAGCTTCATCTCCCTGCTCTCCTGTGACACTTGTACTTCTCACATAATGTGAGTCTAAATGGTCAAAATTCATTTTGAAATGTCTGCTTACATTCATCCAGGGCTTTAGTATTTTATACTGCATGAGACCTAAATCTTCCATTTGGAAATTTCCATAATGTTTCTGGCATTGTGAGGAAGTAATTTTCTGGAGGATGTAACCATGAGGAAAATTTACCTCTAATTATTATTGTCTCTATCATTTCCTGAGAGCTCACCAAGCACCTGACAAATGCTTTTTATTCTTCATCTATGAATCCTCACAAAAACCCACAAGGTAGATTTTATTAACTCTTTGTAACCCAAACAAAACCTGTTCATATTATACACTTTTAAATAGTGAATGTTATGGTATTTGAATTAGATAGCAATTAAAAAAAAAGAATGCTCCACAGAAAAGTCAGTATAAGAGTTTTTTTTTTTTTTTTAAATTCCCTAAGAGGGCAGATCCCTTAAGATCTGAACAAACCTGGTTTATCCCATCCATTATTTAGAGCTCCTTACCCTGAGTGACTGGCCATGCTATACTTCAGGAAGTCAACAGCCTTCCCAGAGATTCTGGTAACTTCCCAAAGGATCTGATTCTTGGGCTCCCTGTGGAAAATTGCTCATGACATTCTCATATTTTCTTCTATCTCGGGGCACCCTTCTCCTCCAGGGTCTCTTGTGTTTTATGTGGAACCAGGTGTGAAACTCCACCCTCTCCCAGATCCTCCAAAAGCCACTAGTACAAAACATTGTGATTGCTGTGCACTCTCCTGGAGTTTTGTTTTGTTTGGTGTCATACTAATGAACATAACTATAGAATAACAAAGTGTCATTTGGGAATTATCATGGTTGACTTTACCTTGTCATCTTAGTGGCCCTTATCTATTTTTACTTTTTTCATCCCTCTTCCTCACCACGTGTCACCCCAGATGGGGGTACCTCAGGAACTCAAAATTCTTCTCCCACAGTTACTGGAGTCCTAGGACAGAGGCCTGACTTTGGGGATTCAATGAATCAGGTCTGGCTACTCACTTCAAAAATCATAGAGAAAAGATAGTTGGGAAAAGCATCAAATGAATTTTAACCAGTGCAGCTACTACATCCAAGGGGACCAACTTTGTCTTTGAGGAGCTGACAATGACTCTGAGTTTTTTTTTTTTTCTCTGTGTGTTTGTGGTGCTAGGAGTCGAACCCAGGGCCTTGGGCAGGTGAGGCAGGTACTCAGCCAACTGAGCTGTATCCCCAGCCCCTAAACTTGAGGTTTTATAGAAAGGGAAATGAGGACATGTGTTGGGTGTTTGCATAGCTAGAGGCTTTGCACAATTTCCAAAGCAGGTGCTTTTGTTCAGGGAGAGGTGTGATCTGGTTCATTGTTATTTTGGGATTGATGAGGTGGGGATTTGCCAGTGATAAGAGAGTTGCCATGTGTGTGTCTGTGTGTCTGCACCTGGGAGGGGTGTTGTTGGTTTTGACTCATTGAGCAAAGGAGACAGAAGAAAAATGGAGGCATCTGCCAAGTCTTTAATCCTGCCATTAGCTACATAAGACATTTCTAGGCAAAAGCAGAATCTAAGTCCTTGCTACATTTCCTTGTCTTTTGTCCATTCCTCAATCTTGAGGGAGTGAGGGTGTCAGTGTTACTGTTGGGATATCCAGTTGAAGTCCAGGTCTTTGGTGTCCCCAACAAAGAATTGAGTGACACACAGAAGTAACAGGTAGAGGACAGATTTACTGAAGGTGAAGATAGCACTACCTTCAGTAGGACAGAATGGGGAGAGAGAGAGACAAAGAGAAGGGAGAGGGAGAGGGAGAGGGAGGGAAGGAGAGATAGAGCCTCAAGGCCTCAATGTCTGGAAATTAGGGTCTTATATCCTGAACTGTGGGGTATTCTTTTTCCCAATGGACCAGATTGAAGACATTACACCATTTTCTCCCAACTTATGATACTTTATTAGAATATTTTCTAATTCTGCTCCCCAAATGGTTACTTTAGAAAACCTAATTAGAATACTACCCACTTTTCCCCCATTGGTCATTTTAAAATTTGAACTTGTGGCGGGAGTTGTCATGGTGATAAGTCCTCTGTGGTGGTCCTTGTCATGGTAATGGGACTTATTATAAACAGGGACAGGACTTGTCTCCTTGTCTTGTCCTCCGGTGGCTTCTTTCTAATACTCTGTCTCCATCTTGGTGTCTCTGAACTCCTACCTAACATCAGCCCAATCTGGCTTTGTGTTACTTAGCCTGGGGCTCAACTGGTCTTTAAACAATGGTTGAAGCATATAAGTTAAAGAGTCAGGTGTTTAAGCCTAAATATAGAAGGACCATTATAAATTATAAATCAGAATACAAAAGTGAGTCAAAGTCAGAAAATATCCAAATAAATAATTCATGTAAGGGGTTCTCTGTCTTTTAAAATAGCTCTGTGAATATGTTTTAGTAAAAAAGGATGCATTTGAAATCTGAAAAAAAGTCATTTTCTTGTATTTATCTAAATGGAATGCTTTTGTCTAAGCTAAAGGTTCTATCTTCTGTGTGAAGGTGCTTGTGGAAGGGCTTTAGTGTCAGGGAGTCATGAGCAAGAACCCCTTCTCCATAACTTCTCAGCTTACTTTGGGCAGGGCTGACACAAGCGCACATCTCAAGTAACATTTAAAAGGGCCACTGTTTTTTTTTCTTTTAATTGTTCATGTGTGACTCTTCTTTGATGTTTCTTTTACACTCATATCAGTTCATTTGTCTGTGGTTATACTTTCCTGCTAAGTGTCCAAGACCAAGTAGATGACCCTTATTTTGGCCAAACATTAACCTCTTCCTACTGTGAAGACCAACTAAATTTCCTCAGTATTTTCCCTCTTCAATGGTACTATTTGTTGAGATGGGTCGGGGTCTTGCTGGTCATCCAGCTTCCCTTGGAAGCATCAGGGACATTCCCTTCCTCGATAACCTTCCTTTTTGCAGAATATGTAATGACTGGCTCTTAATCTCTAGGGTCTTCCCAGTCTCCCTGATTAGGCATTTGGGTGATTCACCAGTGTTTTGGGGCCCTTTTAGAGAGGTCCTGTCATGGACTATGTCCTGGTTTACCTTGGAGGGCTAGAGTATAAATACTGTCTGTTTTATTATCCCTTTTATTTTCTGATTTTGGCCTCAAGTGTCCATGGTTGAACACCAAGAAGGCCAATTTCACCAGAACAAAATTAAGATATAGAAAAGTTTAAGAGCAAAAACATATCCAGTTTGTTTAATAGACACAGTGGTTTCTAATTTGAACTTTTGTCATTTTAGAGTTACCTCTTCCATTGAATTTGAATCAACATTAGTATTAGGAGTCAGTGTCATATCCTATCTGTCCTGTAGGTTATGGCTGTCATCTCAAAACACTGCTCAGGTTATTCTGTTAGCAGTTGTACTTCTGGGACTGGGGACGTGGCTCAGTTGTAGAATGCTAGCCTAGAATATGCAAGGTCCAAGTTCAATACTGAGTGTGAGAGTGGGATGGGGAGAAGTTGTACTTCTGCAAAATGCTAACAGATAACACTTATAACAGGGAAAAACACAATTAAGAGCAAAACACATCCAGTTTGTTTAATAGTTCTGAACCAAGAAATATATTTCTTCCTAATAACACTAATATACCTCTGATAAATGTTTAGCCAAAATGCAAAATTTGCAAATTTGATCACACATAAAATCTTTTACAAATTTTATTTCTTTTTAATAATCCTTTTACAATCTTTCAGTACATTTTACAATTTAACCAAACCCTTTCTTAACTTTTAAATTTTATCACTTTTTCTAATTTGGGATTATGCCACAAAATGATTGGGAGAGACAGAAACTCCATGGATCATTCTGGCCTTTATTCAGGAACAGGACTACACCAATGGGAATGAGTCCACTTTCCTGGTGGAAAATGAGCCACTGAACAAATAAAGGGAGTAGGCTTATATAGGTTATCCTGAGAGGTGGTCTAGTGAGCATATCAGTTTTCTTGGGCACTCAGGAATTTAGGGTCTGTTCTAATTGGTCAGTGAATGTGTTAGTTTTCGTGCTCAGGAATTTGGACTTTTTGGGCAGGAGTTGTGTTCTGCATCTGGAGAGGATCTACTCTGGGGGAGGTCAATGCCTCCCAGAGATTGTCACTTAGGTGTGATGCAACACCTTCTCCCTTCCTGCAGCCAGCATTTGGTAAATATTTGTCTTGGGGGATGAAAGCTGTTAGTGTCTTTCTCACTGCCTTTTCTCAGGCCACATTACTTTGGGGATATTTCATTTTCCATATCTTTGCAATAAAAATTTTATCTTTTTGAACAGAACTTGTGGGGACAAGTGCTTGGCGTACTGCATACATGGCATACATTAAAGGCGTCTGAGTGGCAAACCACTTCCCCGAGCTAGGCATGTGAGTGGCAAACTGCTTACCCCATAGGCACAGCCCTGGGTATGAGGGCACTTGTTGCAGTCCCTGCACTTGCTCCATGGCCCACTCCTCGACTGATTGCTGCAGGAACAGTTGGCCAGCAATTGTATTGGTACAGCAATTGTATCGGTACTAGCTACTGCCTGGTACATGGTAACTGTGCAATAAATCAGACCTGCCTCCTGCTTGGTCTCTGAAGGTCTTGATTAGTGACTCTGCAGCCACACTTTCCTCTACCCTGTTCCGTGGACCTCCTCGCTGGACGAGAGAGAGCCCACGTAAGAATTTTAATTGGGCTTGAAGTAGGATGGTCTACTTTTGGGGCTATCCTAACATGAAGCAGAGCAGGAGACAGAACCTTACCCCAGGTGAAGCTGGTCTTTTGGCAATTATTAGCTAAACTTTTTACATTTGAAGTTAATCCTTGCCCCTTTTCTAAATATCATTCTATTTAGGAGTATAAGAAAACAAAGTTTTTATATTATTTTTTGAATCT